GTCAATGTCACGCCGTATTTTTTGAAGATATCCTTGACCCTTTCCAAGAGAGGCCGCCCCCTTTCCCTTTTTTCTGCCACTCTGCCTTCTGCGGCTTCTTTTTCGGAGGGCGAGTAATTCTCATCTTGGATGATTGCCTGGTCTTTCTCGTTTTGGCGCTGTAGCTCGCTTTCCTCCTCTTTCAGGTCGTCCAACGTTTTTGTTTGGTTGTACCTTTCTTCCAAGGCGTTTGTTTCACTTTCTTTTTCAGTGAGGCTGGCCCTGAGTCTGTCAACCTTGGCTTGTTCCTTTTCTCTGTTTTTTGCTTGTTTTGCAAGCGAGTCCAATTCTTTTTTTTTTTGTTTTCGAGATCGGTTTGATAGTTCTTTTTCAGTTCTTTGAGCTTACGCAGCTCTGCTTCACTTTCAAGGTTCGAACCTTGTTCATCCTGAATAGAATCGATCTTAGCGTCGGTTTGCTCAATTTTACTTCTCAGAACTTCCACATCTCTCTTTTCTTTTTCTCTTTGCGCATATAATTTTTCCACCTGTTGAAGTTGTTTTTCAGCTTCTTTCAGTCTTTGGCGTTGTTCTCTGATTGTAACTCGGTCTTCTTTTATTATTTCACTAGTTCATTTTTGAATCTTTCCGTAAAACTTTTCATTAAACCTGACTCGTCTTCTTTCAGAATCTTGTACTCAGTATTTTTGGGCCCCCGCGTTACGGCAACAATTTTTCCCTCAAATTTTCCAGTGCCTCTTCTGATTCTGAGTTTTTCAAAGTTCGCTTTATCGAATTTGTCTTTTATCATATCAACAGCTTTTTTCAGTTTTTGCCGCAAATTGCTTTCTTTCTGAAGATCACTGATTGAAGGTGTTCTTCCAAGCAAAGGGGTTTCTTCCTGAAAAGAAGTGTCAGGAAGGCCGGACTGCTCGTGAGGAAAAGTGCTCATTTCCGTTTGTTCGCCCCCGTGGTAGGGGTCGCCAGGTTGGTAGGGAGTGGACGCAGCGCCTGGCTGAAAAGGACGGGTTGTGTCAACCTCTTGTTCGCCTTCATCAGAGTCGTGGTCAAGCCGATTGTCAAGGTCCGGGTCTTCGTGACNTTCCAGTGCCTCTTCTGATTCTGAGTTTTTCAAAGTTCGCTTTATCGAATTTGTCTTTTATCATATCAACAGCTTTTTTGAGTTTTTGCCGCAAATTGCTTTCTTTTTGACGATCGCTGATTGAAGGTGTTCTTCCAAGCAAAGGGGTTTCTTCATAAGAAGTGTCAGGCAGACCGGACTGCTCGTGCATCATAGTACGCATTTCCATTTGTTCGCCCCCGTGGTAGGGTTCGCCAGTTTGGTAGGGAGTGGACGCCGAGCCTGGCTGAAAAGGATGGGTTATGTCAACCTCTTGTTCGCCAACATCAGAGTATTGTTCGCCATCATCAGAGTCGTGGTGGTCAAGCAGATTGTCGAGTTTCGGGTCTTCGTGACCAAAGTCGCCACCGCCTTCCGCCATAGCGATATATTGCAAGCCTATTATTTTTCAAATTAGAAATAATCGCCGGAGTGTTATATATAATGTCAGTTCCAGAAAACCATCGCGCAACATACAGCAAAAAAAACATTGCGCGCCATGCAGGCCGAGCGCGCGGTCAAGCGGCCTACCTTTTACCGCACTGCAGCCAACCCCGGAGACACTCTGTATGTTTCAGTGCCAAAGCTGAACGTGAACGAGGTTCTGGTGCCGGGCTCGCTGGCGCTTGTCTTTG